GGCATATATGATGTTGTGGAAGCCTTATGGCTGACACTGGAAGGTGATGAAGTGCTTGCATTCCCAGAGGTGGCTGTGTCCTGGGAAATGTTGTCCATAGGAGTGTATCCACTTACAGAGGATGAACGAATTGAGGTGGTCATTGGCGAGAGAGTGCTGGTGTGACTCGTGTCGGTTTGAGAAGTTGTTTTTGTCCCTGTAATAGAAGAAGAAGAGTGCGCTCTTGATTGTCCTATTTTTCATTGATACTTTTGAGATAATTGGAGTGAAACTTCTCTAGTGCTTGTTGCCATCAACTTTTCTGACATTGTCAGATTTGTGTGGCTGGCAGTTGAATAGGATTTTCCCTGAGAAATAGTACTTGGCAGAGTGTGTTCATTTGTGGGGGTTGGAGGATTATACCCTTTAAATATAAGTAGAAGGGCTTATGAGAAATGAAATTCTATTTCTGTGAAACTATGCAGTCTATAACTAGTTTTGCACATATTCCTCTCCGTATCATAGTGCTCTGGAATAAATGGCTAAGGATTTGATTATTTAACTGTGGCTAATGTTTCTAGTCACATAGGTGACAACCAGTCTTAAATAAGATGGTAATGAATGTTTGCGGTAACATTTTGTCTCCATTAGCAATGAGTTTGCAAGGATAGAAATGGAAAATGGTGGAGTTGACCTCCTACTTTCCCCATACAAGGGTTACAAGCCATCATCCTTGTGCTTCAGTTTCAGATCAATGTTTCATTTTAAATACACCCATAGTTCATGTACTCAATAAATTTCAAATTGTCACACATCCTATACACGTTTTTCTCAAGCCCTACAAAGGAGATGGGTAGGCTTCTCTTCTTTTCACAGCCTCTTTTTCTTCTCCTTAATCCAGTGTGTATCCCTCCGGTTTCCTTCTCAATCTGTGTCCTCATCCCATCAAAAGTTTTTCAGTTTTCACCCCTACTGGTATTCTTGTGATCTTCTTTTCCTCCTTCATTTCTCTCTATTACCCTATCTAAAACAGGCAAGAAATTTACTGGCCTATCAGAACATTCTTTGGAGAGCAAGGATGGGTAAATAGTTGTGAGCTTGTATGTTTGAATCCTGGACATGCCTAAATACATTTACTGTTGACAGCAAACATGTCAACCACTTGTACTGTCTGAAACAACTTGTTTATTCAGTATTAAGCATTTGGAAGTACACCCAGGATTACAAGAGATTTTGAGGACTCAAGTTTGAAGTGACCCCTCCTTCTCTGGAATAGTGTGGGTTTCTGTCATGGGGGTGGGTAGCCTGTCTTCTATTCAGGTAGTTATGTTTATTTCATTTCACTCTCCCTGAGGACCTTCCTTGTGGGTGGTGTCTCTACCTACAATCCAGAACTTTTCCTTCCTACTTTACTTTTTCTTTTTAACTAGGAGTTGAATTAATTCTGTTTGGTTTTCAAAATCATGTGGGTTCTTGAGCTCAGGTCATCCCCCTTTCTACAAACCTCAGCAAGCTGTTTCTAAAGACACCACCGTCTTACAATTGCCATCTGGGCCATGACCTCGGGCCCAAACTACTTTTAAGATCAACAAAACTGTTTTTAGTGTTCATTTTATTTTTACAATCATAAGGGAAGAAATCAATGTGATAATAGTGAGTATGTAATTAATCCATCCTTGGCCACATTTGTCTTTAGTCCAACACAGTTGTAAAATAGTTTTAAAATTTTTTAACAAAGTGAGGAGCCCAGGAAGGCAACAGTGCCTAGGGTCCATGAAAATCATTTTGTTGCCCTTTATCCAGATTGTCTCAACAAAAGCGTGAACCCATTGGTAAAGAGATAGGCATCATAGTAGAAGTTCATTGATGACAATCTAATTTCATTTAATATTTTATATTAGTTCAGTAACTTGAATTGTTTTTTTTCTCCAAAAACTATCTTTAGTTCCCCCAAAAAACATTTTCCCCCATACAGTTATTGAGATACAACAACAAATCCAGTTTT